GAAAATCTCGCGTTTCGGGATCGCGCGCGTTCTACGTTCCGGATATGAAATTTTGCACATTGAAAATTCCGGTCGCACGCCGTAAATCTTACCCGCTAGGCTTTGGCAAATTTTAAATCGTTCCCCGTTACACGGAATAATGCGTCGGGTCGCACGTGGCCGCGACGGATTCGACGGACGATGCGGTAGGAGGAGCAGGAAGAGGAGGTGGGAAAAAAGAGATAAAAAGGAAAAACAGGAATTAATTTCGGCGGACGGTAAAAATTGGACGATACATCTCTCTCGGCCCCGGCGTATCGACGCGGCGACGATTTTATTTGTCGAAGCGTGCGGGTAATCCGCGACCCTCGCAATTGCATTCATTATTTACGGCCGCGAGGTGTGCGTACACGCGCTTTACTACGCGCCTGCATTTTCCGCGGAACACGTGTTACGTCGTACAGCGATAAATGGCCATCCACGTGCATCAACGTGACGGATGCGTGTTTTTGCGAGGGAAAACGCGCCGCCGCTCGCGAAATCAGTAGTTTCACATTAAGTCCGCGATAGTTTTCTATGCAGCCTTCTTCCCCCCGTCTCTTTCATTCCCGTCTCGTCATTTACTACAATCTATGTTTCTCTTAAAAAAAAATTGTCTCTTGAGAAGAGATCGAAGGGATCCCGAATCGAAATTTTAGTCTCGGTTTAAGTCTAATTTAATCCTATGTTAAATATTCCAAGGTTTTCTATTGTGCTTCTTTGGTGCTACAGATAGGGAAGTTATTGCCGTTTTCTCCACTTGAAGACTTAACGTAGAATTTAAAATCTCGACTCGGGATTACTCGCTCGTTGATAAATTAGGAATAGAACTAGACAGCAGAGAAGTCTTCAGTCATTCACTTGCGCACCTATCGCTTCCTCTAGACTCTTATCGATCTTTTGATTAGGTTTAGAAAAGTTCGTCTGAAGTAGGAATATATCAACTTTTCAACTATCAACTTGAAACAGGAATATATCAACTTTTTTCGCTAATAACAGACGTGCGTTGCAAAATTTTATCAATGATTTTATATCTCTATGAGAGAGAGAGAAAGAGAGAGAGAGAGAGAAAGCGTGTCTTCTCCCCCCGAAGAAATATAACTTCGTCCGCGCAAAATATTTATTTCTTCTCGCGAGAAAAATAACTTAGTCAATTTTGAACTTTTGCAATTTTCGCCAAACAATGCCCACTCGAGCCCGACGATCGTCAAGAATCGTCGCGATCGCGGCGAGTTATATTCCCTCGCTTCCCTCTCCGTTGAATTTTTCCATATCAAACGTGGTTACATCATCGAGAATTACGAAATATCATCGACGACGCTACCGTCGGCTTTCGGAGTGACATTTTCCCCGAGTACCCCAGTGTGGAAAGAGTCGGACTCGTCTTTCTCCCGAATGAAGACAAGATTTCCGTTAATATATCAATCCCGTTTCTTTCTGTATTACTTAAACACCAACGGCAGCCCGGGAAGGGGGCCCACCGCCGTGATATTCGCAAAATTTTAACACTGACCGATAATTATTCCGAGAGAGCGAGAGATATTAAACCGCACGCTCGGAGTTGCTTTCTGAAAGCCCGGCAGAGGTATCGCGATCGACCCACGGGACGAAGAGGGAGAGATAGAGGGAGAAAAAGAGAGAGAGAGAGAGGGAGCGAACAGCGGGATAAAGGGGAGAAGGAGAAATAGCCTTTTGGGCCCCGCGTCGGTGGGACCGTAGATATACAGGTATCCCAGGTATACAGAAGACAGGGACTATCGATAGCAACCTCGTCTTTCACCGAACGGCGAGTCCTCTCACTCGGCAGCGGGAAAGATCTCTCCCGACGTCGCTCTCTGCAATTGTAGTGCAGCGCGCCGATCAGCCGGTTCGGTGAGATCGCTCCCTCGCACAGCTCGACGATTTCCCACGCGGGGAAATATGTCGCGGAGCCGGGAAAAATAATCGCGGCGCGGTTACACCAAGCTCCGCCGAAATCGTCCAATCTAATTAATTCCGACGGCGAATCTCGCGGAATCGATCTAGTCCCGGCACCGTTATATAATATATTCCCATGTATGAGAGAGACAGTGACGCGGCAATAATGGAAATGCGACCGTACGTTCGATAAATATGTAAGCTGGAATATCTTTAACACAAATGCGAAAGAGGGGGAGAGGACGGCTTCTCGTGAACGATAAATAGTCTGGGCTGATAAAATGCAATTAAATATGCACGCATAGCTCGTACGCGTGGATTTATATTATATAAGTTGTAATCTCGGCGAGAGATTATATAAATATCACAGCCGTGAACTCGTGATTTCGCAAAAACAGCCGGCTACACCGCGCAGAACCTGGCGATCGGATTCCTCGATCCGATCACGCCACGATCGCGCGGGGGATTTGAGCGTACAGCGAAAGCTAAGTGCGTCCTTTCAATTCCGAATTCCGTTTTTCTCGACACGAGCGTCACCCATAACGTTGTTTCAGCCTGAGGATCACACACGGTGAACAATTTTGTATTAACAATGGCCCACTAAAATGTTTGCGTTGTTTCGACAAAATGAATATGTTAAAAAGTAATCTATTAACAAAGTAAATACATACTCATTTATCATGTATTTGTGTACTTCTTAACACATTCTCCGTGTGAAAATAACACAAAAGTTTCAGTCGATCGTTTTTAACGCAAAATCCTTTCATCACGCGGAAAGGCGCACGGAGGAAAAAGATCGGCTGAATTAACACGACAATGAACGAACCGGAATGAGTTTCCGTCGAAGGAAATCGAATTTCACGTCCTAAGAATCGAATTCAGTTCGTAAGAACCAGAGATAGATCTTTCTTCTCCGTGCAAATTTGGCGTTCGATGCGGAATAAATCCGTCCGGCTCTTGTCGGGAGGAGATCGGAAGAGGGAGGTGTCCCTCCGCTCGAAGGGGAACTCGCGTCCCGTCTCGCGCGTCCTGCTTTCCCGCAGGATCCCCCCAGGAGTGGACAGAGCGATTTAAACGGCGCCGTCACGCCTGTCACGATCCTCCTTCCCGCCGCCTTCCTACTGCGCGCGCTGTTTATTTTCTAATTACGCGCATTAACGCGCCCCCCGCGCACACCGCGATATACTACGTGCTTCATTCAGCCGCTCTCGCGGCAAGGAGCTCGTCCTATTGTGCTCTCTCGCGGTTGTACGTTGTCGGGTAAATATGAGGCTGGATACCCCGCGGAAATTCTCTCTCGCTCACTCCCCGGGCTCTCTTCTCGGCGTGACCGATTCTACAGGGTGGACGAAACGAATCGGCCCCGGCGTATGAGCGAGTCGAAGGAACGCTCGGTGGATCCCTCGAGCGTACGATCTTCCCTGAAGGATCTGGGAGAAATGTTCTTCTTATTCTCGTGAAACGTTCGCTTATTCATCGCGGACCGAAATCACGAGGAAATTTCCCGTCGAGTAGAATTCTTCGCGGGTGAATCAATTTCGTGCTCGGGTCCGATGTTTAAAAAAAGCTGTAAACAGAGCGCGCGCTCGATCGCTTCGGCCCGCGCTTTATCTGTTGGTGACGTATTTATTCAGATATATATACAAGCTTCACAGTGAGCGTCTCTGTTTGTCTTAACTGGAGAGCTCTCTCTCTCTCTCTTCCTTATTCTCTCGCTTTTGCTCTCGTTCTCGTCCTCTCGGACAAATCCGACAATTTAATTATTACTGACCCCAGACGAAGCTCACAATGAAGCGATTCAGGCGTGAAATAAATATCTTCCTGCTCCGAAATGTAATTAACGCCGGTGAAGACTCGACGCGCAATCGCGAACCACCGAGAGATAACGTGTAATCCAACTAACGATGCCTACGATTACTATTACGAGCGACTTACTTAGCGACTTTACTTCGAGCAATTTCGCCGAATTTACGAGACCGTGCCTCGTGCGTTCGCACTTGTCCGACGGCAATATGTCTCCCGTTGTTCGCCGAGGAATCTTATTTCACAAACGATGGGGAACCGTCACCGTTTGCGCAAGCTGTTCCATTCTTGTTTCAGGTGCGAGAGTACGCTCCTGAAGCTCGCCTGTCAAAGCCTGGATCGCCCTTTCGTAAGCAGGGTGTTCTCGGTTTGGATAAACACGCTTCTGAACGAGGTTTCTCCTGGCGTGCCGCTTTGATCGTTTAAATCGGACTGCACAGGGTGTATATGCACTCGGCACATAGGCGAGACGTGTATGTACAGGGTGCTTCCAAGCTGAACGATCGAACAGTGCCGATGTACATCTCCGACCAGAAATAAAAGATGAGACGTTACACATCGGTGGAAGTTCCGAGATACCTAATTAAGCGGTGACAAGGAGAAAGAGGAACAATTTCGCGATCGTTCGACCTCCCTCGCCTCTCGAAAGGCCGGGGCGTCTCGTGAACGTGCGCGTCATCATCGTTCGTGTACTCGTAAAACGAGACGTGACGAAACATCTCCGGCGACATATCGCGCTGAACAATCGGCCGAACAGTTAGCAACGTATCCGCGACAGACGCTGGGCCTGCACTTCAGCTGCACCTGCGGCCTGATATCCTGGGGACCCTCGTGAACTGACACGGCCAGGAGAAACCTCTTTACCGTGGCCACTCCATTTCGCAAGTAGCAATATCGAGACGGTTTAACAATGTATCTTCAACAACATGTTTCTATCTTTTACTCTTCCCTCCCTCCTCACCTCTCCATCTTTCTCTCTCTTTCCGTCTCCCACTTCTTCGAGATCGCTTCTCTCTTTCTTTCCTCCTCCTACTCCTGCTCTCTCTCTCTCTCTCTCTCGTGCGCGCGCGCGCTTCTTCTCTCTGTCTTTCTTTTTCACCACACATCACAGACATACTCTCTCGCTCTCTCTTTCTCTCTCTCTCTACTTATCTATCTATCTCTGTCTCGTCACCAGCAACTACGCCATCGTAGTGTTCCGGTCCCGAAAAAGCATCGCGAATTCTACCAGGCTCATTTATAAATTCGAGGAACACACTCACCGGTCCGCTGACGAGCGTCACATTTCCGCGCGGCTGAGGACGTCACTAGCCGCCTTCCTCCTCGTCGTCGCCGTCCTCGTCGTGGCGACCGTCGTGCTGGCGACGATTTCTCTCACCTCACCTCCGTGTTCACTCGGATATTCTCAACGGTCTAGCCGGGTTGCTAGGCGCTCTTTCGTGGCGGCTTTCTGCCGTGGCTATCGCTGCGGCGCTCCGGGCAAAGCCATCTTGGAGTCGAAGGGGCACGCACGCACAAACGGTACGACCTGCCTGCCTGCTTGTCCGCCTGTCCGCCTGCCTGCCAGTCGCGTTTGTTAGCCTATCCTCTTGCCGGGACGGGAGGAGGCCGAGTGAGAGCTCGTTCAGCTCGTCGAATGCGCCATGGTGGCGCCACCAGTTTGCCGCCTCCGTCGTCGCTGCCATTGCGGATGTATCACCGAGGCCCGATTACGGCGGTTACCAACGCGCAGGTAGAACTCGTCGCCGCCTCCTTGCGCAAACCTTTTTCGGAGTAACACGGGTTGCAACGCCGGCGAGATCCGTTTTAGGGGATTCCAGCGGTATTTTTGAAGTAAAACGAGGGAAACGCTCGGCTGACCTTGAAGAGAAACTTCCGCCCGCCGCCGAGAAGCGGCGCCACTTGGAAGGCGCCAACTTTCAGTCGCCAAGATGCCGACCGTTCGCTGGCCCGCGCGATTTGAACCTTTGTTCGGCGGAGAAAGTCCGTCGGAGAGTCGATTTTCGGCCTGAAGCGGCGGATATGACGCGGACGTCGCGTGGAACCCTTTTATCTGCGAAGCTCCGTGATGCCAAGCCTCGTCTTTATCGCGAATTTTGGTTTTTGATCGTTGAAATTGAATGCGATAACTCGAAACGTCGAATTAACGATCGAACCAATAATCGCCGCCTATTGGGAAAATATTCAACCGGATTTCGACGGAGATCGAGGCGATACGATGAAAATCCAATTAATCGGGAAGAAAATTAAATTGAATTAAAGGAAAATTAGATCTCCCTAGGTGAAATGAGAAAGAGAGCGTAGCGACGGTACGCCGTCGGATTCGACAATATGTGATTTTCTTAAATAGATTTTATTCGAGAGCACTAAACAATTATATCTACACTCTACAACAAGTATCTTTCTTGCCTTTCGTTGACGCTGCTTCGTCCTTGCACCCACCGAGAAAATTCGGACCTCGTGAAAATCGCACGATTTCGTATTCTTACAAATAGCGCAATAAATAGTTTATTCTCACCTGACTCCCTCTCTCTCTCTCTCTCTCTTTCTCTCTCTTTTTTTTTCTCTCTTTCTCTCTCTCACTCACGCTCGCGCATGAAGCAGATAAATCCTCGGCACATTGTAGTAGACTCTTAAGTATATAAATAAGTCGTAAGTCGATGCCTCGTTTAGATTATTAAATATATATATGTATATGTATATATATATTTTTATTGTATATGTGTATATGAATATTCAATATCTTTATGTTGTATATGACTAGAACTCCTCGACACGTATCACATACTAATATTGACTATCGAGTTTCAGGACGAGACTTGGAAGTATTCGCGTTCCAAGTCCCAGCGACGTTCCCATTCTTCCGGCTGTCCATTTCTCATCGAGATTCGAGTGTTCTGAACGAGGATCGTGTTCAATTTCCCGCAAAAATTGTTCCATCACCCCCGTCACTTCTCGTCCTTAGGAGTTTCTTCGCTCTTGCGCGAAGAACGTGAGACGATCGTGACTTGGGAAAAATTGTATGTGCGAATTATCTTTTTCCATTCTCTCAGAGGGAAATTGCGGGACCGATGTCCTCATTAAAATTCAATCCCCTTGAGAATCGACAGTCGGACGCAGGAGAACGCGCCTTCGTCTTATTGCTGTATCATTGACTTTAGGATCGTTAGACTGTTAATCGCTTAATCGCTAATACTTTCGTCATTACTTTCACTCAAACTTCTTCTGGACTTCGAGACGAACTCGATTAACCCTTTCAAGGACAGGAAAACGGAGTATCGCTCGAAATTACGTGCGTTTTGTTCTTTCCGTGAAATAAACGTTTCTCCAATTCCCTTTAATTCCAACTCCGTTTAATTTGTAATTTTACTTAGATTTTTCTCGATAATTTTCTTATTTTTGATCATATTTCGGCGCGTTTATTTCGCTTGCTCCGTTTGATCCTAATGTAATTGCGTTGTCACGGAAAGAATTAAACGATACGGATTTCCGATTTACAGCGTTTTGCTTTTTAAATAAATAAAAGGTATTTGTGTTAACATTGAAGAAAAGATCAAACTGCTCCTCGAACGATTAATCGGCGCTTCGACAATATTCTAGTAATTAATACTTTCGTGACACCCGTTTCTTCGAGTACTTCCTCGAGATTTGATCCTCCCGTGTAGTAACTGGTCTAAAAATCTCGTAAGAGAGGATCTCACGTGAATTACTAATTAATCGCCCCTCTGGAACTTATATTCTGGAGGATTTCAACGTATTTCGTGTTACGTTTCTCGCCGTTCGACTCAATTTCTTCGGTGCGATTTCGCAGCTTGGCCCGCGCGATCTACTTGAATTATTCGCGAACAAAGAAAAGTCGTGGACGAGAGAATCTTTCAAGCACTCGTTACAAAATCGACCGAGTGCCTTAATTCGACTCTCCACTGGCGACGGTGCCATCGGTCGGCGGACCTCCGGCGGTCACGATCTGAGGATCGCTTGCCGGAAGTCCCTGCATCTCCTGGACCCCCTGAAACAGCTTGCCCGGGAATCCCTGAAGTAGGTCGTAGGAAACGGGCGTGGGTGGCAGGGCGGTCGTATGAGCGTGCGGCGATTGCAGGACGGCTATCACTCTCCGAAGTTCTTCCAAGGCGTTTCCTACGATATTTATGAATCAAAAACCATCAGGTCAATCTTTTAGTACTCTCTTTGTTGTTCGTCTTCCAGATGTAATATTTGAATTAATGACGGGACGCGCACTTTGCAAGACAGAAGAGGAAAAGTCAGAACGTAAAGATTTTATATGCAAAAAATGTAATTATAATATCTCGACAACGTTGCCCCATTCGTGCCGTTTCATTACCTTGCATGAGAATGTAATTTTTCGCCAATAGAAGGGTGGCTATCTTCGAGAGCTTCCTCACTGAGGGGCTGTGAGCGTAAGGGATGACGGAGCGAAGCTCGTCCAAAGCGTCGTTCAAGTCGTGCATCCTCCTGCGTTCTCGCGCGTTAATATTCAGCCGCACGCTTTTTCCTTGACGGGTCGTCTTCGACTTCGGAGGGCAGTTCAGTCGCGAGGCTCCGGGTCTACGAAAATCGCCACACGCATTAGTCTTATTAATTATATTTATATTAATTATATTAAATTTTTACCGAATTTCACATCATACGTTTACATAATACGTTTAATTATATTTATGGTGAAAAGGATAGCGATATCCTTTTAACCATGCGCTTATTTTCACACTTCAACCTTTTCCAATTCTATTTTGCCTGCAAATCGCTAAGTTCTCGTATTCGTTTAAATAAAAGCCCGAGACATGAAAAGGCGCACCTCTCGTCGGGTCGATTCTCATCGGACAACGCACTCGACGAGGCGTGCGGTTGGGGTTGTTGCTGAAAATAGAAACCGCCGAGACCCACAGCACCCAGCGGGGTCCTCCGTCCTGGTGCGCTCTGTGTGTGTTCCGATGAGTACGCCGCCGGTGGAGCCGAGACGCTCGGGTGCGAGGCGCCGGCCGTCGAGTACACGGACTCGAGAGACGCCGCGGATTGTGGAGGCAGTGGATGCTGCAGCAAGTAAATTCACGCGTCTTACGGACGGAATTTCAGACAGAGAAATATCTTTCAAAGTCGTACTCGCGAAAGTTTCGTCCTCGAACGGTCAAGAGACAAAGGATAAGGAACGAGATCTCGTCCCGGTGACTTTTGCTCCTTCTTTCGCCGCGATGAAATCTAACGGACGAAAAGTGTGTTCTTTGTAGGGATGTTTTCTGCAGAGAAATTAGATATTTGACACGCGCAGGACTACGTAGGATATTTATGAGATACCAAATGCAGTTGCATTCAGAGGCAGGATTTACTCACGGCATTGCGGTGCTCCCATGCCCAAGTGGGATGCGACGCCGAGCGTTGCCAGGACCCTTGCTGGAGGTGCGCCTCCGGCAGACCCTCCCGACGATCATCGTCCTCCGTCGAGCTGCTCTCGCCGTCGTAGGATCTCATCCTTCGCGTACTCTCGATTTACCCGACCGATCTTTCCCCTCCTCCTCTTCGTTTTCGATTTCTAAAATCGCGCGTTCGCACTTTTCAGAAATTCTTTCTTTCTACATATTTTCCAACTTTTCCGTATTTTTCACAAATAAATTTTTTGCCCCGCTTGAATTTATCTTATCGATGCAGTCTTTTCATCCCCGATTGCTCCTCGAATGAAGGAATCGGCTCGGAATTTCTCACGCTAATTTACTTCCATACCAACGCGAAATTGTCAAATTTCCTCTCAATGTTTCGCCATTTTTTTCTTCCCCTCCAATTCCCGACAAATTCTTACTTCGGTTTCCCCGTTCAACCGTAATTAACCGCCGCCATTCGGGGAGGCGTCATCGGCCTAACGCAATCGATAGCAAGTGGAACACTTACCGACGATTTTCTTTTTCCCCCCCCCCCCCTCCCCCCCTTTCCCCCGCGCGTCCCGCGGAGCGCAGGGTCCGGTGATTAGCAAAGTTTTTTGCGCACCAACGCGCAACGAGTCATCCCTCCGCCCGCGCTCCTCCGCACCTCATCGACCGCAGCGCGAACGACCGGTATTCCCCGGATCCTCGGCGAAGAGGATCCCGATCCTGCGGAGGCCGGGTCGGAGGATTTCCGTGGTCCGCTCGTCGAAGTCACTCGCGGCCGACTCAGCCAATCACAGCCATTTTAATTCGCAGGACCGGTGATTTCTCCCTCGGAGAAGAGGATCTCGCGAGTTTCTCCTCGGGAGGGGAAGGTCCTTCCCGTTCACAGGACCCCCGTCGCCGCGACGACCGCGTCGATCCTGTCCCGAATCCTTATTCTCGCCGGTGACGGCGGATAAATTTGTCCTTGAGAAAAATGATCGCACCTACCGAGGTACGATCGCACAGCGTCGTCAGGAGCACGCGCGCGTCTCTTTCTCTCGTTGTTTGCGGGCTCCTGCGCAGAAAAGGGTGCCAACCCCCGAATTAATTCGGCCGCCGTGTGCCAGGGTGCGCCCGCTGCGACGAGGGATGCTGTGCTGGACCATCGACTGGCGTACCCTGGTGGATCGAGCCGGAGGTCCTCGCGCACGCCTTCTTACCATCCGAAAAGGAAAACCGCGCGTCCGACGCGGGCGAAAGAGAAGCCGTTACCAGTTACCGTGTCGAGTATTTTTATCCGGAGACGCGCGCCCTGCGATCTCGCAAAATCATAACGCCACTCATCTCCCGCAGGAGAGGAAAATAAAACGCGACTCATTCTCTCTCTCCCCGGAAATTTATATCGATTAAAAATCGAGAAGTCGCGAAACAAAAATCTCTGCCATCGAGCGATAGTCGATGATAATTACTAAAGTACATAAAAAAAAAATATGTATATATATAGTAAATTCAAGCAAACTAAGAATTTATTTGTAAAATATTAAGGATTAAAAATTGCGAAATTGCAAAGCGAAAATCTGCCACCGAATGATAGTCAACGAAGATATACATAAAGTTTATAAAACATATATGTATAAATATGATAAATTCAAGCAAACTAACAATTTATTTGTAAAATATTAACGATTAAAAATTGCGAAATCGTGAAACAAAAATCTGTCATTGAATGATAGTCGGCGAAAAAATGTATAAAATATATATGATAAAATTCAAGCGGGGCGAGAAATTTCTTTGCGAAACATAGCACTTCGTTCGAAAAACGCTGCGCAATTTTCGACGGGGGGATTTTTTCTGAGAAAAATCGTAGCGTAGAAACCCCCACAGGCAATGCACTCGCTAGTTGAAGCTTAGCGAGCAGCGAAGCGAGACGCGCGCCGTCCAATTGAATCTTCGACGAGAATACGCTTGCCCCACATTCGCCGACGAGAGTTCTCCTCTCGAGAAGGGATCCCGCGCGATTTCCCGAGCACCCGGTACAGCAAATTAATGCGTCCCCGTGTCGGCTATCAGTGACTTGATTATCGCGACAATTATTGTTAATACTTCATTGTTGATATTATGCAGAATGCATATTTATCAATCTAATTGCGAGATACAGCGCGCTGCTTGTCGCTGCGTCATAAATGCACCGTCATGCATTTGCCGGTCCATTGTCATTAATATCGCATTTTGCTTTGTGATTTGGCCGTTATTGCGTTAACGTGAGCTCCCGCTTCTGCGAGATTTTTCGCGTCCTTTTTTATCCAAGGCATTCTATTCAACGACGTTTCGCGTTGAATCGAATTGCGGACTCACTTTCGCCGAGGACTCGACGATCGCTCTCGCCTCTCGCTGTTTTCTCTCCCGATATGATTTCGCACCCTTCTTCCCCCCCTCCCTCTTTCTGTCTCTCTTTCTCTCGGCACCCCTGAGATTTTCGCTCCCCCGATCGACCGTACGTCGCGCATACGCCGCCGCGGACGTACATCGTCGTTGAATACGATTAACGGGCGCGCGTTAGCGTTAGCGCAAAAACACAGTGAATGCCTCGAGGACGACGTGTAACGCGGGGACACCGAGACAATTCGGCGACAACCCCCGAGACCCGTGGTGAATCACCGCTGGCATTTCCACAGCCGCCCCCGCGCGCGCGCACGCTACTCCGACGACTCCGCTTAGTTTTACTTTTGCGCCCGAACGTTTACTGTAAACACGGCGTGCGACGGGGAGAGACGTGGTGCAGAACGTCGCGCTACGCCGCGCAAATTGATCGAAGGCCCTCGAACGGCGATACTCTGCGCGCGAACTTTGTTTTGCGTCGAAAGAGGGGGAGGGGGGGAGGGGAGACGACAATTAATGCGGATATTTGGAGGTGACTAGTAGGTGTTTTATACGCGAGATAAATAATCTGGAGGAAAGAGAGAGAGAGAGAGAGAGAGAGAACGCGCGTCCGAAATAAATCAGAGACAGTCTGATTTATGCTTCGAAGGTCTTCTAATTCACAACCGTGGAATTAATTACACACCGTTAATCTCGCACCGTTTTTATCGGCAGACACCAAAGATCTATTGACATATAAATTGAGGGGGCATTTGAATATTTGCGAAACTGTTTTTATTTCCAAGTGGGTGTCGGGAGGTCAAGAATGAAAAAAACGTATAAATCGCGGAGAAATGAAATAAATTAATTCTCTCGCAAATTGTATCATTAATCTCTCCTCGTTTTCATCGGCCGGTTTTGAAGATGCATCGATACGTTAATCGGGAATTTGTCTAAATTAATAATCCGCGTGAATGTTTGCGAAATGATTTCTGCAACAAGGTGCGTTAAGAGTATTCGAGAATTAATGGATCGTTTTGATCATTTGAAACGAAATTATCTCCTGATTGAATCGATGTTTCGATACTGCGATGTTTCAACGGCCAATTTTGATGTTTAACGGCGATTCGGGGATGATGGGGTGAAATCATTACGCGTCGGTGTGCCTCGCTTGCTCGATATGCACCGCTCGAGAAATCTTTCTGGGTCGAGCGCGGCGTTCGTAGCGCCGGGAGATTTATCGCTTCCTTGGCGCTCAGAACGGAGAAACATTCTCGTCCCGAGAAAAAATTGCATTCGTTGCGATTGGAGCCGCGCGTCCCCGGCGCGAAATTCGCATTCGAGTCGATAATTGGCGAAGCGTGCTGTCGTGACGGCTGTCGACTAAGACGTTTCTAATTACTACGTACATGTTATCGCTATTTTGCTATTGACTTACTATCATTTTAACATTATTATTGCCTTTTTTAAATAAACGTTTCTCTTATGTCTCTTTTAAAAATTTCGAACGAAGAATCTGCTTTAGAAATGCAAAACGTAGCTATTATTATCACTGGAAATATCAAGAAACAATATGTGTTCCGATTAATAATATTCACTCTCATTAATATTGCGTTACCCATTAACACCTTCTACGCCTCGCTCCGTGAACATCAAATGACACGAACAGAATGATCTCGCGAGAATTAAACGCCGTCGTCATCATTTTCGACAACGTTCGGGCTGCGGTGGCTGCTGCCCCGGTTATTTCCGAATGGAAAGGCGCGTGTCGAGAGAATCCCGGAAGGAAGGCCGAAGCACCGGGAAAAACGGACCTCGCACGCATACATGCGTGCATCATCATACCGGCCGTTCGTTCGGCACGTATAGATCGCAAGTCCGGTGATAAAGGGAAGGAGAGGGAGTGAGAGAAGGTGAGAGAAACACACAGAGACATAGAGAGAGGGGGAGAGAGAGAGAGAGAGAGCAGAGTGAAAGAGAGAGACAAGGAGAGCGAGGGAGAAACGAGGAAAGGAGAGAACACGAGCAAGCAAGAGAGAGAGAGAGAGAGACAGAGAGCGAATGGTGGTTGGCGTTCGGGGGTGGTTTTCGGGCCGACGGCGAGTCCTGAGGGATGAGGGACGACGAGGGTTGCCAAGGCAACCCTCCGCCAGCCTCGGCTTACTTTAGCCCGCGCTCGGATCAATACAGCATCCCCGTGAGCTCCCGGACCAAACGCGCCGACCCCTCGTCCCCCTGCGTCGCCACCAACCCCCCGCACCCTTCGCGCCACCACGACCGCCCTCGCCTAGGCGGCTCTTTCTCCGCTCTGCCACTCCTCCTTCTCCTTACGTGCCTCTCCACGTGCGCGTTACTGTCGACCGTCACAAACCAACCCCCTCACACACCTTCCCTCCTCCTCCTCTTCCTCCTCCTCTTCCTTGTCGCGCGCGCCTCGTCATCTCGCGATTTCTTTCTCTGTTTATCTCCGGGTATTTCTCTTCGTTGCTCTCTCTCTCTCTCTCTCTCTTTCTCTCTATCTCTCTTCCCCTCCCTCGTTCTCTTCGACCGCGTCCCCCTTCCTCGCGAGCTCTTCTTGCTCATTTTCCGTTGCAATTCTGCACTTAAAGTGTCTTCGATTTTGTTTATTTACCAATCTCTTAGCTCTCGCAACGAACGGAGAAAATTCGGTGACTGTCATTCAGTGGATAATGAGAAGGAAGGGAGGGGGAGGAGGGAGTTTGAACGCGAGAGCTCGCGATTCCCGACTCGCGTCTCGATTGCGCAATGTTACGATAACGTGCTGGTAACGTGAAGTCGCGTGTCTGTGACGAGAAATCTGAATTTTATTGCAATTAACGCGAGGGACGCGAACAGGAGCGGTATGATTTCAACCGTGTCTTCTCCTCCTACCGTCACTTCTTATATGCAACGCTGCAACGACGACAGTCACCGAAATTTTCATTCGCGCGGCTGATTCAGTAATTAATTGTTAACGACGTCGTACAAGACCCCGTTTCAAGACGGGAAAGTCCAAGAGACAGAGAGAAGGAGAGAGAGAGAGAGAGAGATCGCGACTAAACTCGTGCGCCCGCGCTTTCTAGCGGCGCGCATAGCTCCAACTCTATCGTAAAATTAACCTTCCCGATAAACGCCGTTTATCCGGAGATACATTAAATAATTAATCCGGCGATTCGATTAA